CTTCCCTTCCCTTCCCATATAATTAGACCTTAATTTCAGCCCAGCCACAATGATTAATTCCCAGTTGCCTTGACTTCTGATAAAGAAGGAAAATACAATGGTGGATTGCTCAACAAAGACAGCCAGGCTTGATATGTCCTGATTCTTTCTCTTATTGCTTATTTCGCAATCTTAGCTAATCATGATGAGAAACGTATGTAAAACAAATTAGGGATTATTCATGTATACTGCTTTGAAGTATTAGTGCTTTATAAAGTGATAGAGATGGCATCAGAATTTGAAGGAGGAAGTAGATTTTTGAAGGTTGACTAAAACCAAAAGATTACAACTACAGACACATTGAGATTTGAGAGAGGTCTATGCCATTACTGGGAAGGCCAAGCTCTTTCCTAGTCCACAAACTTAGTAGCGTAGGAACACTCAAGCTACTTCAGTTGTATCGATTCAGGGTTGTTAAGAAATATAGGGTAAAAAACGAGCAGCGGATTTTTGAGTTGGTTTGTCATCCCCTAATTCTAACCCTCTTATATGATAAATATAAAATATCTCCCTCCAGCCCCTTGATGAATTTTGAAAAGGAGGACAAGGAGATACGAAAGTATGTAATTGATTTGAGAATATAATTAGTAAATTCGACACAGGTTGGGTAATCCACCATCTTCCTTCATTCCAATGTGACATCAGATTCATCGTATCACCATCAACCCTAAGCATCATAACTGTTTCAATAATTTGTAAATTTTGAAATTTCATCAACAAAATTACTTGAGGATACAAAATGATAATCAGACATTCAGACTTCCGTACTTGTAGAGTTGTAGTAGTCAGATTATGTTTTTCTAATCTGAATCTGATTAAGTAAACATTTGATTTTAAAAACACCAACATCATAGAAAACCTTGCAGGCGAGCATTCGAAAGTCGAAACGCCCTCGGCCAACTTTCTAAGATGACTATCTATGCAATGTATGGTAGAGAAATTTGCAAGCTGATAAACCCTGAAACTGGTTGTTTCTTATGGGACAGTCATTATCATGTAATGAAGCTTGAGCTGTTGTGTCATGTCAGGTATACATTTCTATGCTCGTTAATCATACTTGTGCCTCTTATCAACAATTCTCTAATGTGATCCGTAAGAAATTAAGACCACCTGTAAAACATGTTGCACACACTGCACAAGGGACATTTTTTTTCCCCCATTTTATCGCAACCACAAGCACATGAGTTTTAATTGTACAATCAGATAGTAAAGCTAATTTGGTCTAATACATGCATTGGACTATTGGAGACTAAAAAGAACTACATGGACGACTTAACTCAAACTCAGTAACTATAGATGTGCCCTCTCTCTAAGAAGAAACTTCTGAATTTAACAAGGGGATTCCTTTTTTTAGATTGACACTATTTCTGAGTAAAAAAAAAAAAGCATTTTTTGTTTAGTTACCTTCGGATTGATTTAAGAAGACGTTCTCCTTTAAAACAATTAGAAGACCTGAAAACAAACAAACATTAACAAGCAATTATTATTCTTGGTTTCAATTTAATTAAATACGAAACAGGTAAAAAAGAAAACATAAAAAGAGTAGTTATTACTGGTGTAGTTGTTGTTTTCGTTGAGAAGTAGGGGTGTCAAGTAATATTATTCTTGGACTTCTTCTTCTTTGACCTCCCCATAATGATCAGATTCTTCAGAGAATAAAAGGGGTTTAGTGATTATTTTAACAATTTTCAATGAGAACACACACACACTCTCTCTCTCTCTATCTCTAGGGTTTATGAATTTGCAATCAAAGAGTTTGTAGAATCGAATGATTCAAAATTCAAATTTGATAAACCATCGAAAGAAGAAGAAGAAGAAGCTTGAAGACTGAAAAAGAGGGACTGATGAATGACGAAGTACTGTTAGTGGGCCGGGCTTAGACTCCGCATGTAATCGAATATTGTTAAGAAAATTAATAAGGCCCAAATCCCAGTTTTGATGATTTACGATAACGTTACTAATAATCATCCTTGATTTAAAGTCCATGGACTTTTCCCTTTGTATTAATTTAATGGGCCTTAAATTTTAAGTCTATGGAAATGGAACAATTCTGAAATGGTTAGTCACACTGTCACAGATATGATATTTTCACTAAAATAAAATGAAATTACTTACTTAACTCATAGTTCAGCTCAGCATAAGTAAGAACTATTGAACTAAGAACTAATGATTGGTAACACCCAGAGTTCCTCCAAACCCTTCAGTAGTGAAAGAACAAGAAACTTTGTTTGTAACTTTGTATACATGATACATCGCCACTGAAGTGGCAGGAAGAACTCTAGGGGATACTAAGCGTGCGACATTACATGGATCATTATTGATGTAAAGAAATGCATGTAATATTTGGTGACACCTAGAGTTCCTCCAAACCCTTCAGTAATATCGCCAAAGATAGTTAGCAATACATCATTACTGAAGCGGCAGGAGGAACTCCAAGGGATACCAAACGTCGTTAAATTAATGATCGATCGAATAATGACCTTGAACAGATATAAGCAACCACTGTTCAGTTATATATACTCATGGATTATGAACACAACAACAACAAATAGCCTTTCGTTCACTAGTACATACTACAGAGATCCATGTGCATGTGCTAGTGTTAGAACTTTAGCTGATGAACTTGGTCGTTCATGCAACCTTGTTCAGAGTCATTGAACTTAGTCACATTTTTTTTTCAGATTTGTTAAGGAAATTAAAGTAAAGAATCTTCACTTTTCTGTAGTTGCACTACAAGTCCTTTCCAATGACTTTCTCTGTGTTTTCCTCTATTTTCATTGTGCACATTTCAGTATTTTGTCGAAAATTTGGTAGCTATTCATTCTTCTATCCTGATCATTTTCATCACTTATGCAACAATCAGCAAGTGGAAGATCGAGGAAACAAACTTGTACTGTGATGTTGCTGGATTTAAGTTGTGGCCACGTGTCATTTGTGACCCTCGACATTTAAGCATTTATTCAGATTGGAATCCTTGAATTTCATCACTTCCACAATATGTCAGGGTTTTATATATTTTTATGAATTATTCCTTATTGCTTAGAACAGTTTCAGTACAATCATGAATATCATGAACATATGAAGGCCTTCTTCATATTACCTCTTTCCCTTATCGCACAGTTCTCTCATTTAAGCTATTAAGAAGAGTTTTGAAGTTTCACAAAGATGAACGATTTCT